ACATAAGAATTTTTTCCTTATTACAGATTTAAATAGGTTAATGTAAAATATTTATTAAGTATATACCAATTTCGTCACCTATTTAATCGCCAATATCAACACTAATTTCAACGACTATTTTAACGCCTACTTCATCAAGTATTTCATCGCCAATATCAGTTCCAAATTATACACCTATGTCATACAAATTTCATCACCTATTTCATCTCCAAAATCAACACCAATTAAATGCCTATTTCATAATCAATATCATCGCCTATTTCATCGCAAATATTAACACTAATTTCACCGCATATTTCATAACAAATTCATCACCTATATCAACACAAAATTAAACGCCAATTTCAACGCCTATTTCATCGCCAATTACATCACCTATGCCAATCCCTATAGGGGTTCGTCAATTTTACAATTTTTGTAACGGCCACGACCATATTACTGGCTTCTTATAGAGACAGTCTTATGCCAGTCCTGACCAAACCCATTCTATGGGTTTATCACCAACTAGACTTACCTAATAATCTTAGACGGTTCAGATTTTTTCAAAGGTATTCTGAGTAAATTATGAAACCTCATAAAACAATGATGTCCTCATGTCAGAATTCTTATGCAAAATGGTGATCTCAACAATAAGTAGTAATCATGGCCTACATCGAATAGATATTTTGAGCTTGCTTGACTAAACAGTGTCTGATAATAATTATTAATTTCTATATCATCCTTAGTACAATTTAGGCAATATCAAATGCCACTTGTTTGTAACTATATTTTTCTACACCTGTACGTATCGCTCTATCCATCTTTTTAATTTAGCTACTATAAGAATCGGCTAAGAAGAAGGCTTCATGGTTAATTGTTCTTTAAGCTCACTAGAATTAATTGTATATATGCATATTCATGCTAATTCATTTAGCTTATGTTATCAATTTCAATTGCAAATTAATATTGATCTCTTCAATGTCACTTTGTTCCAATATTCTATGTAATGAGTTGCGTAAAAAGTGCCAATTCTCCATATATGATAAAATTCAAAACGAGCTTTATATTGCACTCTTTTGTAAGTGAAGGTAGATGTAAATTTGTTGGAAGCCCGACCTTTTACTACAGTTCACCATGTAATCGAAATACTTATTGTAGAAAAGGGTATAAGATATTCTGACATCATAATTTATTCATCTCCTTTGTGTTTAGGCCTCTAAATACTGTCCTTAATACATCATTGATATTTCATTTATGAGTATTTGCCATTTGGAATAGTTTGTAAATACTACTTACATTTTTATGCCACATGCCAAATTCAGTTGATTATACTTATTGTTGACTTCATTATCCTCTTTAGTTAATGCTATTAATTGTAGTAATTGCATGTTTCTACCTTGTCAATTTTACATAGCCCGAAACTAATTAATTATAGCAAAAGAAATACTTTCTATCATGATAATACAACCACCATTTTGTAATTTTTGATATTGGTTTGATTAAACTTGCGATCCATTCAGAAAATGATACATTCAATAAGAAAAATATTGACCTCTAGAGAATTACTGTTCCATACACTCTAAGAGTACTATTTCTTTCTCTTTTCCTCAAGGCTCCTATTTATAATCTCCATCATGATCAAAATATTAGTTGTATCTTGAACACTTATTGTTCATATAAAATGTTGATTTTCATGATTTAATTTTGGAGCGATATCAAGCATACTATGTGTAAATGGAGATAGACACAGGAAAGGAATGAACATATGCAAGCAGAATACTGTCCAAGCAACAAACACTTCATATAGTGAGGTAGCCGAAGAATTAATTTCAGTTACAAAAATTGCTTTATACACAAAAAATTAGTTGAATTTAGAGAAAATGAATTATATTATTTTGAACAAATTTTTCAAGCCGTGTATCTATTTATAAATATAACTTAAGTATGTTTGGATATTGCGAGGATTCATATTTAACTTAGAGAAGAAGTAACCAGATCAGCATTACTAAAAGCACTGGATAAAAACGATAGTGATCAAATATATGATGAATCAATACTAGGAGTATAAAAACCAAATGAATTAGTACACATTAAGTGCAATATAAAAACACCAAGAGTAAATCCAAAGTGGCAACAGTATATGTTGAATAATTATCAGAATCTGTTAGAAAAAGGTCTAAGGATAGTAGTTCAGAAATTTTGTTTGCTAAGCTGATTTGTAGCAGCTCAAGAATATTTCTATTAATATCAAGTACATGTAGGACATTTGTCACAGCTAGGATGGTTACTAGGACATTTAAAATTTATTGCTATTGCGAATATAGTAACATTAAAAGATTTTAATAAAATAATTCTGATTGCAAGGAAATTATAAGAAACATGAGATCAAATAAATCTACACCTTAGTTTGGAGGCCTTTTAAATGTACAAAATAAGTAAAAATTTTGTAAGATGAATTGAACTGAGAGACAATTCCATACCATAACTAAGCAAGAAGATCGAATAGGAATGAAAAAAAGAACGATTTATATTTTGTTATTATTTTGTAATGCTTTTATCAAAATATAAAAAAGTACAGAAGTATTTGAAAAAGTAGTGTGTTTTTTGAATAAATTGTGATTTATTAGGTTATAATTTATTTTAATAAAAATCAAAACTTAATGGTTTCAAAATAAGAAAAGTATAATAAGAAATTTATATAATGAATTTATAGATATTTATGATTTATGAAATTCATTTTTCTTCTAAGGCATATTTTTTAAGGATTGGTGGGACTGATTTGGGACCTCCTTCGTTTCTATTTTATTCAACATCAACAATCAAACAGAACATTATAGTATCAACTCCATATCCATATAAACTCATGAAAATAGAACCAATAAAACCGGAAATAACGGCAACGAACTAAAATATTGACTATTATTAGTATTACTAAAGTGGGAACAAATGGATCCAAAATATTGGTTTTATCCTTAACAGTAAAGTAACAAAGTGTGGCTGAAGTTGCTCCAATAAAAATAATTCCCAAATATTGAAAAATCTCGCCCACTAAGTTAGAATTTAAATAGTTCATACATCCTTGAGTGATGGTCATACGAGTAGAATTTCTAAAATCAAGATAGAAGGCATCAACTGCAGAACGGCAAAAGTCATTTCCTGTTAATACAATTATTGTATAAGCATTTTTATCCAAAAACTTAATTACCTGATCAAAACAACGAGCGCACAATGCTGTGTATAAATAACAAAAACATATAAATGGAATATGTTTATTAATTTTAATCATACATTTATAAAAGTACTAATTTACTAAAATTTAAATTACACAGCACTACGATATGATGAATTTAATCAACCACATAAAAGATAAAATAACTCCGCCATATAAAAGACTACCTAAATTTTTTGTGAGTCCATTACGAAAACCTTTTTTAATAGTACCTTTTCTTGAACAACCTTAATGACTATAATACCAATAGCAACAACAAGTACAGATAACAAATTGAGTTAGCGCGTTTAAAAAACAAACATTCCAACCCATCCCAAATAAATATAAGGCTATTTACCAAAAGGTTTTTATATCCATATATAATATAACATAAGGGTTATTCTGAGTTTTATTTTCATTGCTGGTAGCTGAAAAAATGAGAGCTGAGAATACTACCCAGTAGGCCATTACTCCAATTATTATAAATTACATAAACACTGGAACAAAAATAATCTACCACTCCGATCTAATAAAATCACTAGCTGCTTCCAGTATAATAATGGCTTGTTTGATTTTTTTAGCAAAATAGATCACTAAAATAAGTCCTGCTATTCCTAGAGCTAGAATCACATAAGCAGTTAATTTTAGAGATTTAGAAACTTTCTCATCTTTAACCCCTCCATTGTAGCCTATAGCTTAGAGATAACACGCTCCCCCAGCCCAAGCTAAAATCGAGATAATTAAAACAACCATTCCCCAAACTACACATCCTGCTGCAAATCTAGCCAAAAGTAGAACTATGGCAGAAATAATAAATGCGATTCCAGCACAAACCAAAATTATAGGCCATGTCTCTTGAATGTCTGCATAATATAGCTAACTATCGCCGAAATAATTTATTTTGCTCACCATTTTTTGATATATTGGGTTTTCACTTTCAGGAGGGACACACAAAGTAAAAAATTATTTGGCGGAATAAGGTGCTGGCTTTGCAGAACATTGATAGCAAGGAAGTTCTAAACCAACTTCACTTATTCCAGGACAATGAGAAACACAATAATACTCTAATTCACTTAATATATAAACATTTGGATAGTCTTTGGTAACACCACTTCCACATTATCGTTACATCTAAAATTAATGTTATAATATACACAATCGTAGGGCATATATATGTCATAAATATTTCCTTTCCCCCATGCTGTTATTGCACAATAGATCATCAAGACCCATATTACAAAATATAGAATAATCCAATTTATGTTTTTGAATTCTCTTATTTCAATAGGTCCATTTTTCAATTCTTTAGTCAATTTTCTACCTAAAATAATTTTTAATTGATGTACCTGTAAAATTGACATCTTGTTCAGGATATTCATATTCTTCCTGTACTTGTACACGCACATTACTGGATTATTTTTCGAGGAATGCGTCTGTTATCATTTAGGAATAAACACAAATATAATAATAATTTGATAGAATGTTATCACTTACAGGTTATATCGAAATGTTAATGAATTATGAATTAATAGAAAATTTTCATTAATTGATTATATTAAAAAGTTATGATATAACGAAAAGGGAGCAGTCTACATTAAATTTTTCTGGAATAAATATCTCATCAGCCTGTGTAAATACAATTTGCAGTTTTCTGTCACTTTCTTAATAAATTTGTGATCATTGAAATAACATCTATAAAAATTCCTGATTTCCTACCCAGCAAGGGTGTTTTACAAAGCCAATTTGAGTAGTTTGTATTCAATCTCAAAGGGTTGGATTAGATAAAAGTTGAATAAGCTCAACTTAGAAGGAAAACAACTTTTCTGACAATTTGAGTGAACAAAAATTATGTAAGGACAACAGACAAAGATATATGGTATTAAGTCCCATAAGTGTATTATCAATCAACTCTTTGAATTCATTATCAAGATTATTGGGCAATTAATTGACTATATACGATTAGTTACAATAATACATTTCTGAAAGGTTACATAACAGATCCTTCAGAGGGCAAGTCTGCAACGAAAAGACTCTTCAATAATTACATGCCATCAGAATTATTATGAATCAAAATTATTAAAATTAAATGATTATCAAGATTGATAAATTCATATCTTCATGCTTATTCATTAACAGATGAGAAAATTTGTATATTGATTCATTTAAATACTTTTTTAAAATAGATAGTAAATTCTTCTTTGGATTAGAGAATTACTTTTGATGGTGAGGCATCCTTTCCTTTTATAATAATATCATTAACATCTGGATATTTATCATTAAGTGTAAGAAAGTCAACTAGTTACTAGCAATTAGGATGAATTATCATTTGATTGGTCGTGAAATCCTCAAGTTACAAAATAACTCATCTCTTTATAATTTTCAGAACAATTGTGATGATTATTGTATTGATTGGAACTTAACAATCTCCTTAGCCTTGATCATACTAGTAGATAGCCTTCGAATGAACTAAGCTATCTGTACTTTAAACAACCAGACAATATCAAGGTCTTCAATGAACTTTTATCTTAAATTAGGCAATAGTACTCAAACATACTTTTTTATAAAAACCATTAATTCTCATATCTCTCCACATATTTTGATTAAATCTAAACCTTGGAGATAGATCATTCATCACAATTGTGATATTGATGCTGCAAGAGACATAGTTATGATCCCCCTTTTTCTACCTTTAATAAAAAAAGATATTTACTAAAGCAGGTATTTGAATTATTAGGCATTCTACTCACTTGGCTGTATACTGGCCGTGTGAATGTTGACTAAAAGAACAGAGCTCCAAAAAGAAGATATTACATGGTTTGCTTGATATAATCAATTTTTGGAAATACCCTACATTATAAGGAACTCTAAATAATTATTAAATATTTAGTCGAGCACCACGATTTAGGTATTTTCTTGTTCTATAATTGGACACTGTAATACTGTTCCTGGGTTTAAGTGCATTCAAAATTGATCTATAAGAACATTTGGCATCCATAAATTATGAAGTTTTTAAATTGATCAATTGAATGACCTATTTGATATTCCTTCTAAAGAGTTGGTTTATTATTTACTAATTTAATATGAATGAGCATGGTATTTGCTCACCATATTCCTAATAAATAGTAATTAGTCTGTGCATTTAATTAGAACTTTATAAATTTTAATCTGCAAACCTTAGTTTTTATTTATGACATATACTTCTTGGAGCATATGATGT